ACCCTTTCCAAATTCTCCATTAGTCCGAAGAACCATTTCACCCTTTTTAAAGGGTTCTTCTATTGTTACAGTGTCAACAATTTTTAGTAGAGTTTAGTAAAGAAAATGGTTCTATACAGAACCTTTTTGAAAAAAATCTATAGCACACTCATGGATATTTTCCATCAATCCGAAGAACCCTTTCATTATGCAAAGAACCCTTTTGGAAGAGGGTTCTATATAGCACCCAAAATGTTTTTTCTATTGTTACGGTGTCAAGCTTGTAACAACTGAAGAACCCTTTTGAGTGCTATATAGAACCCTTTTCATAAAAAAAGGTTCTATATAGAACAGTCTATAGCACTTTCATGCACACTTTCCATTAACCTGAAGAACACTTTCATTATGCAAAGAACCCTTTTGGAAGAGGGTTCTATAGAGCACCAAAAAGGGTTCTTCTGTTGTTACAATGTGAAGCCTTTTTGGTTGGGTTTAGTAAAGAAAATGGTTCTATATAGAACCTTTTTGAAAAAATCTATAGCACACTGGATATTTTCCATCAATCCAAAGAACCCTTTCATGATGAAAAGAACCTTTTTGGAAGAGGGTTCTACATAGCACCAAAAAGCGTTCTTCTGTTGTTATGTTATCAAGCTTGTAACAGTAGAAATAACTTTTTTGGTGCTATATAGAACCCTTTTCATAAAAAAGGTTCTATATAGAACAGTCTATAGCACTTTCATGCACACTTTCCATCAACCTGAAGAACGCTTTCATTATGCAAAGAACCCTTTTGGAAAAGGGTTCTATAGAGCACCAAAATAGAGCACCAAAAAGGGTGCTTCTGTTGTTACGAGCTTGATACCGTAACAAGAGCAGAACCCTTTTGGGTGCTATATAGAACCATTTTCAAAAATGTTCTATATTGAACCATGTACAATGAATTCTCTGTTAGTCTGAAGAACCATTTCACCCTTTTTAAAGGGTTCTTCTATTGTTACAATGTCAACATTTTTAGTAGGGTTTAGTAAAGAAAATGGTTCTATATAGAACCTTTTTGAAAAGGGTAACAATAGAAGAAACATTTTGGGTGCTATATAGAACCCTTTTCACTAAAGGTTCTATATAGAACAGTCTATAGCACATTCATGCACATTTTCCATCAATCTAAAGAACGCTTTCATTATGCAAAGAACCCTTTTGGAAAAGAGTTCTATATAGCACCAAAAAGGGTTCTTTTACTGTTACAATGTCAACCCTTTTTGGTCGGGTTTAGCAAAGAAAATGGTTCTATATAGAACCTTTTGAAAAAATCTATAGCACACTGGATATTTTCCATCAATCCAAAGAACCCTTTCATGATGCAAAGAACCTTTTTGGAAGAGGGTTCTACATAGCACCAAAAAGGGTTCTTCTGTTGTTATGTTATCAAGCTTGTAACAGTAGAAATAACTTTTTGGGTGCTATATAGAACTCTTTTCATAAAAAAGGTTCTATAAAGAACAGTCTATAAAGAACTTTCATGCACACTTTCCATCAACCTGAAGAACGCTTTCATTATGCAAAGAACCCTTTTGGAAAAGGGTTCTATAGAGCACCAAAATAGAGCACCAAAAAGGGTTCTTCTGTTGTTACAAGCTTGATATCATAACAATAGAAGAACCCTTTTGGGTGCTATATAGAACCATTTTCAAAAATGTTCTATATTGAACCATGAACAATGAATTCTCTGTTAGTCTGAAGAACCATTTCACCCTTTTTAAAGGGTTCTTCTATTGTTACAATGTCAACATTTTTAGTAGGGTTTAGTAAAGAAACTGGTTCTATATAGAACCTTTTTGAAAAGGGTAACAATAGAAGAAACATTTTTGGTGCTATATAGAACCCTTTTCACAAAAGGTTCTATATAGATGGGTTCTTCTATTGTTACAATGTCAACCCTTTTTGGTCGGGTTTAGTAAAGAAAATGGTTCTATATAGAACCTTTTAGAAAAGGGTTCCGTATAGCACCCAAAAGGGTTTTTCTGTTGTTACGGTATCAAGCTTGTAACAATAGAAGAAACTTTTTGGGTGCTATATAGAACCCTTTTCTAAAAGGTTCTATATAGAACAGTCTATAGCACATTCATGCACATTTTCCATCAATCTGAAGAACGCTTTCATTATGCAAAGAACCCTTTTGGAAGAAGGTTCTATATAGCACCAAAAAGGGTTCTTCTGTTGTTACAATGTCAACCCTTTTTGGTTGGGTTTAGTAAAGAAAATGGTTCTATATAGAACCTTTTTGAAAAAAATCTATAGCACACTGGATATTTTCCATCAATCCGGAGAACACTTTCATGATGCAAAGAACCCTCTTTGAAAAGGGTTCTATATAGCACCCAAAAGGGTTCTTCTGTTGTTATGGTATCAAGCTTGTAACAGTAGAAATAACTTTTTTGGTGCTATATAGAACCCTTTTCATAAAAAAGGTTCTATATAGAACAGTCTATAGCACTTTCATGCACACTTTCCATCAACCTGAAGAACGCTTTCATTATGCAAAGAACCCTTTTGGAAAAGGGTTCTATAGAGCACCAAAATAGAGCACCAAAAAGGGTTCTTCTGTTGTTACGAGCTTGATACCGTAACAAGAGCAGAACCCTTTTGGGTGCTATATAGAACCATTTTCAAAAATGTTCTATATTGAACCATGTACAATGAATCTGTTAGTCTGAAGAACCATTTCACCCTTTTTAAAGGGTTCTTCTATTGTTACAGTGTCAACATTTTTAGTAGGGTTTAGTAAAGAAAATGGTTCTATATAGAACCTTTTTGAAAAGGGTAACAATAGAAGAAACATTTTTGGTGCTATATAGAACCCTTTTCACAAAAGGGTTCTTCTGTTGTTACAGTATCAAGCTTGTAACAATAGATGAAACTTTTTGGGTGCTATATAGAACCATTTTCACAAAAGGTTCTATATAGAACAGTCTATAGCACTTTCATTATGCAAAGAACCCTTTTGGAAGAGGGTTCTATAGAGCACCAAAAAGGGTTCTTCTGTTACAAGCTTGATATCACAACAGTAGAATTCATGACTCTTTACATGTCGTGTTCTTAAAGCGCAGAACTGTTCTCACCTTTGTGTTCTTGAGTGTGTAGGTTCTGTTCTTACCTAAGAACGAATCCCAGATAAGAAACACTGGTGAAAGACTGTATATAGAGTCTTTGTAAAAGCTAAGCAGGCTTTAAGAGGAAAACGTCCTCCTAAGAGCGGTTGGTGAATGAGGCCCACACTTAGAACAATATTGGTGAATGAGGCTTAAAGATTCCAAACCAGGCTGTTTTTCAGCTAATTTTCCAGGTGTGGAAATGACACATCTTGAAAGTGTCTACATTGTACATAAAACCCTGTTATTTAACAAAAAAAGCTTTTTCCATGGTCTGACCCCTTAAAAATCTTTGAATAAAATTAGCTGAGGGAAAAGAATGTGTTAATTTCGTTTTCGGTCACCACGCTTGTGAAACTCTGGGCTTCGCTATTATTAGTCTCAGGTTAAGCGCTGCATGTCTGATGTCAAGTTTGTTTTCTTCATTGTTCTTCCTTCCAACTTCTATTTCTAATAATTACTGTGGACCTTGTAAGAAAACCTACCACACCTACAGGAAAGAGCCACACCACATGTGTGAAGGTGTTAAGAAGTTGTTGCTTGTTTCTGTTAGTAGGTAATTCTGGGTGAGTTTAGTAATGAACTGATTCCTCTGATCTACTGTTTATTTGTGCAACAGCTGTAAGATCTGTAAGATAAGCAGCACATATATAGAGGTCAGGACATATAAACAAACATATATTGCATATACAGTGTGTCCCAAAAAAATGGACCTCATTAGAGATGTGAATATCTGAGCAACTACATGTCCTGGCAAACGAAATTAAATAGGCTTCATGTTGAACAATACAAGATTTATTTATCAAAATTTGAACAAGAAATTCAGAGGGATGTAGAGTTTATAACCGATTTCACAGCTTCACAAGTGTAATATCTTCTGATACTGGTGGTCGTCCAGATCCCTTTGTCCTGCGCAGACAGCCTTCCTCTTTGAGTTTTTTGTGCCGTGTCCAAATCTGCTTTCCAGTTGGTGCATTTTTATTGAATTTTCTCGAAAATGCATGCTGCACACTCCTGTTTGACTGTGTTCGAGCATATTCTAACACACAAAATGCCTGTTCATTTCTAGTGAATGCCATTCTTCAACCTGAAAAAAACATTAAAAATTAAACTGGATTAGTTTTTACACATTTTGTTAAAATTTGAGATCGTTTGAGGGAGAATTGGCTGTTATTAGACTACGAAATGAGGTCAATTTAATGGGACACCCTGTATAATGCACTACAAATAGACATCTGATAAACTATGGTCACTTAAAATGTGGGTTTCTAACCTGTGGAAGCTGCAGTAATAGAGGAACCACGTGCTAAATTACAGAGAGAATCCAAACGAATTGTTTTTATTATTATTATTATTATTATTATTATTAGAAAAAACTATAACTACTAATTTAAAATCATATAAGTCAATGACTCAGTTTAAAAAAATAAACACCAAAGATATGTAGACTTTTAATAAGATGACAGGCCATAATGATGAGTTCTGTGTTGGTGGGAGCTGAAAACAGTTTAAAATATTTTCTCTATTAATAAACTTTTTATTGTAGCTTTTTTTCTGTTGTAAACCCTCATAACTGTGGATGAAACACAGTTTTCAGGACTGGCAGGCAGAGCCATGCTGTTCCAGAGAGACTTTTATTTTGACAAAGTTCTCTCATGTGTCAATGCTAATCGCCTGTTCTTAATTCTCCCAGAAAAAAACAAAACTTGTGTAGAAACCTGACTTTGAAAAATCTTACGGGTTAACTCTGTGTGATGTACCGAAGCTTTGATCCGAATATGTATGATTTTGTGTATTTACTCTCTTTTTTGAACAAGATTTGTGATCAGGAATAACGAGAGGTCGCTACGTTCTCAGATCTACAAATCATACACAGGACGGTTCCTCCCCAACGGAGAGTTTGGAGATCTGCGAATCTGCGCCATCAATGTGAAACTAACATCGCTCCACATTTATTAAGAGTTCGGGCAGATTTACTCTGAACAGTACGTTAATAAACGATGTTCGTCTCGACGGAAGACGCGACGCCTTCTTTTAAAGGGTTTACTTTAATCCTGGTAAGTTTAAAGACGGATCTGTGAGTTATTTTGCTTAATCATAACTGCTTCCTATTCGCCAGCTTCTTGTTCGAATTTTCCCGTTCCACCTTAAATGGTGCAGCGGTTAAACGGGACAGCGTGAGCCGCCAGAATGTAACTGCTGCGCCATTTAAGGTGGAACGGGAAAGTTCGAATAAGAAGCTGACTTGATTACTTCTAAGAAACATGCTAATGACCTGTTTGTAAACAATTAAGCTTAAGAATGAAGAATGAAGATATTTTTATTGTCACTGTACAAATATAATGAGTTTTGAAGCCTGTAGATGCTTAATTACAAGTAAAACTGTTAAGTATGAGTATAAACAGACTTGTAGGCTACAAGATACAAAATATAGAATAATTAAAATGTAAAGAAGTAAATATATGCTTAAAATAAAAGAATAAAGTGCTCATAAAATAATAAAGTGTCCACACTTTTAAAAAAAGAGGGTTCTTTAGTAAAGGGAATGGTTCTATGTAGAACCATGACTTATATATTGAATCACTGCCTGCTTAAATGGTTCTTTGCCTGGTGGAATGGTTCTTCAGATGGATGGAGAATGTGTAAATGGCAAAAATGGTTCTGCTGTTGTTACGATGTCAAGCTTGTCACAGTAGCAGATCCCTTTTCGATGCTATATAGAAACATTTCCAAAAGGTTCTATATAGAACCATATACAATACGTTCTCCATCAGTCTGATGAACAGTTTCACCATGTAAAGAACCATTAAAGCATGCAGATGGTTCAGTACGGAGCTCATGGTTCATTGCCTTTACTAAAGAACCCTCAAAGAACCATCTTTTTTGAGAGTGCTGTAGTATAATATAGAAAACAGAAGAACCAAATAACTGATCTTGGACTTCAGGACAATAAAACAAAGCGGTCACCTTCCCCTCTGATCAGCGATGAGAGGGAGGAGGAAGTTCAGAGCTTGAGATTCCTTGAAAAGCAGCTGGTTCACTTTGTTTTTCGTCCACTTCTACGCTTTTCCAGCCCGCCGTTTCTGTGGGGAATGTGGGCCAGCTGGCCGTAGACTTGGTCATCTCCACCCTGAACATGCCGAAGGTGGGGCACTTCCACACCGACTGTCTGATCCCCATGGTGGGCAACGACCCGTACAGCAGCTCGGAGCAGGTCAGCACTAATGCAGAAGGTCAGTGAACATCATCACAAACCAGTCTGATCTCATATTCAGCTTCATTTAGTACTGTGTTCCTAAACCAGAGCTTTCCAGCTGGAGATCCAGCCCAGTTTAGTGAGTTCCTTGGTAGACAGTGACTTTATTATAAATTGCAGTCACAGCAGTGAAAAACTGAACTGTACATACCTGTATTAGGAGAACCAGAGGACCACCAGTATGTACCGTACACGGCACACTGTACTAGTATGTACTGTATACTGCACACTGCACACTGCAGTATACTGTGTATTTCTTTACAGTGGTGGTGATAGGAACCAGGGGTCACCATGACTACAACACAAATATAGACCTTTTATTTACTATCCAGAACCACCAGTGAACCTACACGAGTCTTCTGAGTTTATATGGAATGTTGATGATGGAAAATAGTGGAAAATCTGAAATAATAAGTTTTCTTTGGGGACTATTTTGCCTCATAACACCCTGCATATTATGTATCCCTCCACCATGAATGGATTTAAAGGCCAAAATCATCTCCAAACTATCATAAAACAGTGTCTCAGTCATCAGGCAGTGAATTCATAACCATTTCATGTAGTAACTTTCTGTGAGGGAGCTTTTAGAGGTGGACGTCTGGTTCCTATCACCACCACTGTGAACAATTCTGACTCTGTATGTTTCTCTAGAACGGAGCGTTTCACACCAAACCGCTCTGAACGACTCTGTTTACATCTTAACCACTTAATTATTCAGAAATGTGAAAAGTCAGTGATGTTCCACTCTAATTTATGAAGACCTCATGCACGTTTTTGTTAGTTTTTTCTGCTTTCATTCCCGACTCCACTTATTGAACTGGGAGCTGAATCATTGAGCTCTGATCTGTTCACTGTGTTCTTTCTGTGCAGTTTACTTACACAGTGACCTCAAGCTGGCTGTGCTTCAGATAAGATCTCCAGTCTTACAGGTCAGTGTAGAACTGCTGAAAGGGAAACTGATATCATTCCTTAAATAATACTGTTATTATAAAAAGAAATATTTGTAACTATTTAAAGACGAATGCAAAAGTTTGGGCGCCCGGTCACACACAGTGATCACACATCCTCTATAGACACTGCTGCACATTTAATACACAATTATTGTTTATTTACTGAATTTAACATATTCTACATTTTACATTTATGTTTTACTTATTTCAGTATGCAAAACTCAGCAACCGGGGTGTTCAAACTTTTGCGTACATCTGTATATACCATAGGGAGTGCATGTTAATTAACACAGTGATGAATGTGTCAGTGCTAGCCAACTGGCTAATTTTCAGCTGGAGACCTGATGTTAGCAATTAACAGTTTGAATAGACAAAAATAAAAGTGATTTTATTTTTATTTTTAATAGTTCAATTCAAGTAAACCTAAAGCATAAATAAGTTAAATACTAATATAATGAGCATAAAACACACCAGAGACAAAATGGAGATACAAGGCAGCAATTCAGACCTGTCAGTGTATAACAGTGCAGTACATAACATATTTATTATGAAAACAATCAAAATAATGTATGATAATATGCATATGCATAATGTAATATAACAATGTAATATAATATAATGTAATATAATATACACACACACACATCACCTAATATCCTTCTGGGTCGCGGTGGGGTGCTGGAGCCCATCCCAGCTGTCATTGGGCGGAAGGCAGGATACACCCTGGACAGGTCGCCAGTCCATCACAGGGCAGACAGACAGACATACACATTCACACCTAGGGGCAATTTAGCACATCCAGTAGGCCTGACTGCATGTTTTTGGACTGTGGGAGGAAACCGGAGTACCCGGAGGAAACCCACGCAGACACGGGGAGAACAGGCAAACTCCACACAGAAAGGATAATATAATATAACATAATATAATATAATATATTATAATACAATATAATATAATACTCACACCCTGGATTGGCGGTAGGTCATGCCTTTAAAGGCCTTTAAAGATGTGTAATAGTGACTAATTTCTTTTTTTTTGCATGTTTTCCATCATAAGAATAAGGTCAAATCATTCCGTAAGCTGTTGGTGTCCTGGATTAAGAGCAGTGGATTCTTCAGAACGGTGCTGCTGTCCAGCAGTCATGCATACCAGAGGGATGACCAGCAGCTCGAGGGGTGACTAACCTCCAACACTAACACTTCCTCTGCTAATGTTATTGTCTGTCTTTCATTACTGTCACATCTGTTTTTACTGTATAATATCAGGACAACATCCGAAAATTATTAGCACTTAATTAAAAAAAATATTAGCTTAAAAGAATCTAAAAGAGTCTCAATTACATGTAGATAGTTGTTTTTGTTTTTAATAGATTTACTGAATTTCTAGATTGTGTTTACGATCATACATGAACCCTATTTAAACCAGTGGCTCTTAAATTGGCCCTCAGGGACCCCCAGATGGTCCATATTTTGCTGGATCACTTCTAACACAAAGGGATAGAGCGAAATATGGGGGTCCTTGAAGGCTGCTTCGCTATTTAATGTTGTAATTGTCTGTTGCTTTATGACTTTATGACTTAGGACTTTATGTTTTTAATTTTAATAATTTGTTACATTTATTGTTACTGTTGAATTTAATTGCTTGTTTGAAAAGCCCTTTAATCTGCTACTTGTATTGAAATAAATGAAGATTGTAACTGACAGTCTGCGAATGTTAAAAGCCTGAAAATGAGGTAATGATCGTGTGGTGTTAATAAGGTGCTGTGTTTATTCTGCCTGGTGTTGTTTCTGGTCAGATCGGCGCTGCGGTACCTGCTGAGTCCGGCTCTGCAGGACGTAGGGGACACTCTGAGGGAGCTGGGCTGGGCAGAGCTGGAGAAAGTGAGCGCTTTTCCCGGCATTAACGACTCAGAGAAACGCCTCTACATCCCCGGAGGAGGAGTCACCAAAGGCCTCTACTCTGACTGGTACTGAGACAATGACAGCCACAAAACAACGTTCTACATAGAGTTTGCAATAAGACCACATGGGAGCAGGGTTCAGTTCCCCGTTCAGGCAGGAACACAGACTATATTAAACTGCTCTGGATAAAAGCCTAGTGAGGGAGGAGGAAGGCAAAGCACAAACCTCTATTTCACCACCTCTCACAGCGCCCCCTGCCGTACATTAGAAATATGACTAGATACAGTTTGTGTTTGTGTTAATTTAGTGAAAAACAGACATTGATTATTCCTAACGATTTCTAATATTATATTTAATTAATTACACATTTTTACTGCATTTTAATTCTGATTTTTTAAATCTGCTTGGGTCTTTTTTGGCCATTTTAGAAAGTATGCCTGCATATCAAGATATAGATCGTTTATTACCAAAAGGCTGAAAAATATTGAGAAAATTTTTAACCGTATTGCTCAGACTGCTCCACTATGTAGTAACTGGAAGAGAGCGTTCCAATCAGGCTGAGTGACACGGAAAAAAATATGATATATGATAGATATAAGTCTCAGTAGTATTATTACGTAATGTGTAGTGTTTGAACTCTGAAGAAAACAAAAGGCTCATTCTGATTAACCATTAAATTTAATGTGTGTGTGTGTGCATATATATATAACAAACATTTAAACACAAAATATGAAATATGTCATAATTTTTGCACAGGCCACATTTTATATCTCTGTGTTAAATTCAGTAAATAAACAGTAATTATGCATTAAAATGTGCAGAAGTGTGTCTCTGTAGAGGATGTATTAACTTTGACCAGGGGTGTCCAAACCTTATATATATATTATATACCATAAAATGTATGTGTTTGTAGGTGTGTATGTACACACACATAAATTTAATGGTGTATAATATTATAACCATTAAATTTAATGTTTAAGTTTTGACACCCCTGGTAAAAGTTACTACATCCTCTACAGAGACAAGCTTCACACATTGCATAATTACTGTTTAGAAAAACATAAAAAACAAAAGCAGTTTGAAGTTTAAGCCTTTGCTCAAAAGGGATTGATGAACAGAACAGTATAATAAATTTATTGCAAAATACTTTAAGTACATAGCACTGATATCGATAAACTGTTTGAATATAATTATCATTACGGTTTTGTGACACAGGCCTCCATTCATTAATAACCAGTTTAAAACAACCCAGAAACGGCTGTTTTTCTGATGTGGATGTTTTAGAGACCTGATGTTGTGTGAGTTTCATGATAATTAGCTAATTTGAGAACTGAAGATCTGTGTGCATATTCAGATCTTATGAATGATTTATTGAATGTCAGGTAATCAGCAGGTCACTGTACCTCAGTGTTTCTCTCCTCAGCTGTGCGGAGAGCGTCCCGCTGGCTGTGGTGCTGCTGTTCTGCTCTGAGGGAGATAACGTCCCCGACGCGTTCACACTGACCAACCACCTGAACGACTGGCTCCACCTGCTGGAAAAGTCTGTAAGTGACCATTCACAGCAGTCATAACGTCTGTGTGCCTCAGTGCCAAACGTGCTGGGCTTAGTTAACCAAAAGTATTATATCACAGTTCATAGTCGATACTGAATAATTCATAATAAGTAGATACTGAATAACTCATAGTAGGTTAAATAATAATAGTAGGTACTGAATAATTCAGAAGTAGACACTAAATTCATAATAGTAATGATTGTAATAATGTTTATTTCTTCTCTTTTAAATTTATTTTTCTATGTTTATAATTATTTTTAATCATGTTTTAACTTTTATTCTTCGACATCTTTTATTGTATTTTATCTATTATTTTCTTATTCCTAAAGCACTGCAGTGAATGAAAGGTGCTGTATAAATAAACTTGCCGTGCCTAGTTACTAAATTAATTCATAAGTAAATACTGAATAATTCACAGTAGATACTGCATTAATTTGTAGTAGATACTAAATAATGCAGTAGAGTCTGGATAATTCATAATAAATATTAAATAATTCATAGTAAATAATGAATTAATTCATAAGCATATACTGAATAATTGCTAAAATATATTAAATAATTTCCAAAAGATACTGAATTAATTCATAGCAGTTACTGAATAATTCATAATGGATACTGAATAATTCATAGTAGATACTGAGAAATTCATAGCAGATTCTGAATAATTCATAATAGACACAGCTCAATTATCTCTGGACCAGATAAAGGATGACAAACTGCATCAGCAGATGAGCTGCAGTGTAACATAGCTGATGTTTCTCTCTCTCAGCCTCAGGGTTCGACTCCATGGAGGGCTCCTTCATCCTGGAGGCTGCTGTTTGGAAGCGGCATCCCACCCCTGCTCTTCTGAGGACTCAGAACACCCAGCAGTGTGCTGGTACTCACGCAGTGGGCTGACCTTAATGTGGGAAAATGGGAAACTGACCATTCCCATTTGTGACTGGACTGTTAGAAATGTCAGCACTTGCAAGTCGAAGGTCATTCCCAGAAAAAAAAAACATACACTCTGGGTCCTGATGAATGAGGGACGTTTGTGTATAATGCAAATCGTCGCAGTCGTGAGAAGAACCTTGTTTCTCTGAAAAAAGCGGTAACTTTCTAGAAGACCACACTTAAATTTAATGTACACTAGTGAAATCAGATTTTATGCCAAGTCACTTTGGACCTTCTTCTATCAGTCCATACATCATAAAATTATGTAAATAAATAAATACCTTTTGAGGATTTGATATGACTGTGACTGAATGAGCGTATACAGTAGAGCCTTTGCCAAATTCCCTGTTTCTTAGAGTTGTGTTTACTGTAAAATGGCTTAATGTGATTAAACATTATGATGGTTTTGAGTTTCTGGCAGTGGTTTGAGTTTCTGTTGCTCTGCCAGAACTGGCTGCTCTAAAGATATACTACTGATCTATTTTCCTTTTTTTCTGTTTTTCTTTTCTCTCTCTTCCCGTTTGGCTCCGCGCCCCTCCGTTTCCCAGCAGAGGCTCAGTTACTGCGTGACACAGCCTGACCTGCTGTAACTAGTGCAAATCCGCGTGACGCAATGCGGTACGAAACAGAAAACAATCACTTTGGTCTCTTCCTTCTTGAGAGATGAGGCTGTGTTCTGGATTTGCTGGTAAATTCAAATCTGTGCATCACTTTCGGAAAACAGGAGCCACTGGAAGTAAAAATGGGTGATATGGGAAAAATATAACATTATGATACCTCACATTTTCACACTACTCATCAAGATTATGCAAATATATATGTGTGTGTCTCTCTCTCTCTCTATATATATATATATATATATATATATATACACACACACACCCACAATTACAGACTGTAGTCCATCTGTTTCTCTGATACTTTGTTAGCCCCCTTTTACCCTGTTCTTCAGTGGTCAGGACCCCCATGGACCCTCACAGAGCAGGTACTATTTGGATGGCGGATCATTCTCAGCACTGCAGTAACACTGACGTGGTGGTGGTGTGTTAGTGTGTGTTGCGCTGGTCTGAGTGGATCAGACACAGCAGTGTTGCTGGAGTTTTTAAACACCTCAGTGTCACTGCTGGACTGAGAATAGTCCACCAACCAAAAATATCCAGCCAACAGCGTCCTGTGACCACTGATGAAGGACTAGAGGATGACCAACACAAACTGTGCAGCTGCAGATGAGCTATCGTCTCTGACTTTACATCTACAAGGTAAGAGTGTCTAATAGAGTGGACAGTGAGTGGACACAGTGTTTAAAAACTCCAGCAGCACTGCTGTGTCTGATCCACTCAGACCAGCACAACACACACTAACACACCACCACCACGTCAGTGTTACTGCAGTGCTGAGAATGACCCACCACCCAAATAGTACCTGCTCTTTGAGGGTCCATGGGGGTCCTGACCACTGAAGAACAGGGTAAAAGGGGGCTAACAAAGTATCAGAGAAACAGATGGACAACAGTCTGTAATTGTAGAACTACAAAGTGCACCTATATAGTAAGTGGAGCTGATAAAATGGACAATGAGAAACAAGGAGGTGGTCATAATGTTATGCTTGATTGGGGTGTGTGTGTGTGTATAAATATATATTGATAGTCAAACACTGGCAGCAGAGGGTCGCACTGATGAGCTCAGTGACTTAAACATGTCACTGTCATAGGATGCCGCCTCTACCACAGTCAGTCTGTGAAATTTCTGCCCCTGACAACTGGAAATGCTACTTTGTGAAATGGAGGTGTCTGGGAGCAACAACAGCTCAGCCACGAAGCAGTAGACCACACAAACTCAGAGAGGGACCGCCGAGTGCTGAAGATCACAGTGTCTATCTTCTGTTGAATCACTAAAGAGTTCCAAACTGCCTCTGGAAGCTACATCAGCAAAAGAGCTGCACGTTAGGAGCTTCATGAAATGGGTCTCCATGGTTGAGCTGCTACACACAGGCCTAAAATCCAAAATGCACAATGCCAAGCGTCAGAGTGGAGTAAAGCGCCGCCACTGGACTCTGGAGCAGTGGAAACGTATTCTGGGGAGTGACGAATCAGCTTCTCTATCTGTGAGTCTGATGGACGAGTCCGGGTTTGGTGAATGCCAGGAGAACGTTACCTGCCTGACTGCACTGTGCCAGCTGTAAAGTTTGGTGGAGGAGGGATGATGATATGGGCCTGTTTTTCAGGGGTTGGTCTAGAACCCTTAGTTCCAGTGAAGGGAAACCTTAATGCTTCAGCAGAACAAGACATTCTGGACTGTACACTTCCAACTTCGTGGGAACAGTTTGGGGAAGAACTTTTTCTGTTACAGCATGACTGAGTGCTGCATGACAGCCTGAAATCTGAAAACTGTAGATGTCATCAGACGCTGGGTTTCTTCCCTGGTGTCTTCAGTTCCTGCTTGTTCTTGGGCTGTTTTGCCTTCACTTTTGCTTTGAGCGAGCGAGTGGGTGAAATGCAAGCTTGATTGGATTGAGCTCAGGTGATCGGATCGGCCTTTGCAGAACTTTCCACTTCTTTGCCTTGAAAAAAAGGCTCGGGTTGCTTTTACAGTACGCTTCGGCTCATTGTCCATCTGCACTGTGAAGAAAGTTCAGTGAGTTTTGAAAAATGTGGCTGAATCTGAGCAGATGATAAAACTCAGCACTCAAAATTCATCTTGCTATTTTTGTCAGAACCAGCTCTGTTGGCAGCCATACATGCCCACTGCCTCCGCCATGCTGGATCATGAGCAGCTCCTTCCCTTCTCCACACTCTTCCCATCATTCTGGAACAAGTCTGTCCTTGTCTCATCTGGCCGTAAGTTGCTGTTTAAGATGTTAGTTTTTGGAAAACTCCAATTTTACTGTTTTTGAGGCTTAATAACGGTTTAAACCCTCTGTATTTGGATGAATTCTTCTCCTGACTGTTGACTTTGACACAGATACGCCGATCTGCAGGGTGTTCCTGATCTGGCCGTGGTTGTGAAGGGTTTTGCCTCAGCAGGGAAAGAATCCCACCGCAGTTGTTTTCTGAGGTCTTCCAGGCCTTCTGGTGTTTCTGAGCTCACTAGGGCGTCCTCTCTTTATAAGAATGTACCAAATGGTTGACTTGGCCACTCTTGATGTTTTCGCTCTCTCTCTCTGATGGGTGTGCTCTGATTTCTCAGTCTAATGATGGCTTGGTTAACGGGCAGCGAAGCTCCTTGGACTTCATATTGATAGTTAACAGTAGGGCTGAAAGGTTCATCAATTTAAGAGAGAGAAACTTTCACATCAGAGGAGCTGCAGTCTTTCAAAACTACAGTCTGCTGTATCAGAAACGTGGTCTCACATTTTAAGAGTGGAAATTGAACCTAATAACACAGAGCTTGTGAACTGCCTGTAGATGAGTTAGACCAATCAGAGGCAACCAAACCTCCATGTGTTGTGACATCACAACCACAGCTTACTGGCAGTTTGGCTCAGTGCATTTCAGGGTGAAACCTCAAGCCAGAAAAGGCGGATATTCTGACCAACCAAAAAAAACGGCCTGAGGCTTGTACACTCTTAGCAAAAATGGTTCTATATAGTACAAAAAGCGTTCTTTTGCTTGTAACTATAGTGGAACCCTTTTTAGTGTTATATAGAACTGTTTTCAAACCAGGTTCTATATAGTACCAAAAGGGTTCTTTGGCTTATAACAATGGTGGAACCCTTTTTTGGTGTTATATAGAACTGTTTTCAAAAAGGGTTCTATATAGTACCAGAAAGTGTTCTTTGGCTTGTAACAACAGTGGAACCCTTTTTAATGTTATATAGAACTGTTTTTAAAAATGGTTCTATATAGTACCAAAAAAGTTTTTTTTTTGGCTTATAACAATAGTGGAACCCTTTTTGGTGTTATATAGAACTGTTTTCAAAAAGGGTTCTTTGGCTTGTAACAATAGTGGAACCCTGTTTGGTGCTATATATAGAAGCATTTTCAAAAAGGGTTCTATATAGAGCCATGTACATCATGTTCTCCATCAATCTGAAGAACCATTTCATGCAGTGTTCTTTGAGTGTTCATGATTCTGTGTAGAGCCATGTTCTTGACTAAAGAACCCTTAAAGAACCACCTTTTTTTTTTTAAGAGCGTACCTTATAGATAATAATTGCAATTTAAATTGCTGTCGGAATATCAGTCAGAAAAATCGCAATTAGATATTTTCCTCAGATCGTTCAGCCCTCGTTCACAGCATCATTTGAAATCTAGACCTTTTTTCTCATTACTTATAAGTAAAATAAGGTTGTGTATGAAAACAGTAGTAATTCCTACACTGTTTCCCAGTTTTGGATGTAAATACTCTCAAAGTAAAGCACGAGTCATGAGTCATGAGTGCTCATTACAGATTGATGTCATAACAGAAAACTAGAGTGCAGCAAAATGCCACATAAGCCGTCATGACATTTTACCAGCATTACTGCTAACAGTAACACAACAGTGTTAAATTACTGAGCAAAATGTGTCATGATAGCCTATGACACCTGCTATGACACAGTTATGGCATGATTATGTCAGTGTTATGTAGCAGGGTTCAAGTAAAGTGTTATTTGAAAAGCATTAATACTGAATAACTGCATATATCATTAAAAAGTCAGATTTAGATCAATTGCAGACAATATAAACAACAAGAACTGCACAGTAACAAGTATCTGCCCTGTTCTACACTCATTCTCCTAAAGTGAACCCTGACTTAAGACTTGTGTACCTTAGAATAGTGTAAATGTCCAATACTGTTAGAATATGACTATGACTATCGTCGCTGTCCAAAGAAAAACAAGTATCCCCAAAACAGTCACTTTACAGGAGAAGGCAAAAACTTTCTTCACGTTCCATTTAAGTTAATGTAAAGAGATTTTATTCCAAGCAGTTTTGGAGCTTTTCTGTTGATCCACACAGCATCAAAATTTCACAGTGTTCAGGATGTCAGCCGTGCTTGAATGATGTAAAGAAGTAAAAATCGGAAAAAATGGAGATAAATGTTTTTCTTTGGACAGCGACGATTTGTTTTGTTTATTAATTAAAAAAAAGGGGCAAAATTCCACTATTAGTAGGTCAGAATGATGTCATATGTTTACAGTGGACTATATATATATATATATATATACACATATATATATATATATTGTTTCTGCAGGGAAACATCACACTCTAGCTAAAGCCGGAAAGGCTGAATGATATTTAAATTAAAATTATATCAAATTTTTAGCTCACTCCTTCTCACTGAGTGGATGAGAGAGAGCAGACATTTGATGCCGCAACAAAAACTATAGAGAGATTTTAATAACAAATAAAATACTTTATAATAAATAAATAAAAGATATAAACTAAGTAGTTTTATTTTCACGTTTTATTTTTACATTTCAATGGTACTGGATATGTACACCATATTGAGGCTTATATATCTTAACAGTCAGGATTCCCTTAAATTTCTTTTATTAAAATTAATAATCAGTTGCTTGATATTTACCCACTTTTTCAGTACTTTATTTTTGCATTAACACTGATTGTTGTTGTTTACAAACTCTCTGTAATTGCTCTTTTTTATGCAGTTGTTCAGGGCTGTAGAAGTAATGACTGAACCCATCGTATATTCAGAGAAGAGTATGGTGATGTAATTCATCACAATAACAATCAAACACTGCTGTATCGGCCACCCCTGACTGGAAGTCACTGTATAAATTCACTGTTTCACTCAGGAAGTGCTACGCAAGAGCGAAGGGAAAGTAAAGCATGTGGAAAGCAGAAGACAGCGCAGGCCGCCGTTACAGAAACTAAATGATGCCAGTTTTGTTTTATTTGGATAAGGAAATGTAAGACTTCTGTTTTTTTTTCTTCTTAAGCAAATACAATGTCTGTAATCACCTTTATACAGTCAAAAATACAATTTTGCTTCGATACAGCTTAGAAACACTATACACGCCGTGATGCTGCTTCACGGCGCAAGACATGCCGTTCCGCTGTCTCGAAAGCGAGTGCCTTCAAGCTCGGCGTCTCCGCAGACACGATAGGAAATCTTCAAGTAATTTTCTTTATAAAAAATAGAGCTTTTTCATTTCGCTTCTGAAAAAAAGGTTGTCTAAAAATACAACAAGGGGAACAACGTTACAAATTGGCAATGCATAGGCCTACATATCAGATCCTGCTGCCTCTTTTTTGTTTTGTTTTGTTTTTTCAGAAACACAAGCAAAAAAAAAAAAAAAAAAACAACAATAATAAAGGGACACAAACAACCTGTAAAAATAAACAGGACCAATCAGAACCCTGGCAATGAGTCCACCGCTGCTGTGCTGGTGTGTGTGTGTGTACACAGATGCACTCGCTCTTCTGCCTCTCAGAGTCCATGCTGTAAACAGTGTTAAGGATTGCAGGGCAGAGGTGGAGTATTATGGGCTGGGGATCCCTGCTAACGTTGCCATGGAGTTAAGTGTCACTGGTTGTTCTCGGTCTGTGGGGGGAAAAAATAAACAAGATTAGATGATTTTCACTACAGCAACGTAGCTCCATCCTACATGCAGTTCACACCTGTTTTCCCTGCTCTGATGCACCTGGTTTAAACCGATAGTTTGGTAAAATGTCAATCAGCCAAGACGTCCAAATAAGCTTTTTTAGCTACAAGGCTAATGTAGCTAACACGTAATGGAAGCCTATGGCGATGAATGAGAAGATATACTGGGATTTCAACTTCGGCTTGTGTTCACACTTCACCACTTCCCATTTCATTTCGGGTAAATTCCTGAGTAAATTCCATTCTTGGAATCGAGAATCAAGAAAATGACTCCAGAATTTTTGGAATCGCATCCCTATATGATGCTAACTGTTAGCTACAGTGCTGTGAAATAGTATGTGCCTCATCCTAATTTTTATTATTGCATATTTAAGACAATTGTTTTAGATCTTCAAACTAAATTTTATATAAAAGACAAGGACAACCTGAGTAAACACTAAATACAGTACTGAATGACTGCTTCATTACTCAATCAACTATTTTTTTTATCTAGTTGATGACCCTTAACACCAAGATTAATAACTGCCAGTTCTGTTGAATCCGAACATCCCTTCAGTAGAACATTTCCAGCAATGTGAAGTGGCCTAAAAGGTCTCAACAAGCAGCACACTATGCTGCGCTCACAAGACATTCCAGAAGAAATAATGAGAACCACAATGAGAGCAGTCACCTCCAAATGAAGAATACTTGGAACAGTGGTGAATCTTCCCAAAAGTGACCGGCCTACAAGAATTCCTCCAGGAGCACAGTGATGACTCATTTAGAAAGTCGCAGAAGAGCCCTGACAAACACCTAACGAACTGCAGGCCTCGCTTGCCTCAGACAATGTCAGCGTTCTTGATTCCACCATTAGAAAGAGACTGGGGGAAAATGGTATCCATGGGAGAGCAAGAAGGAAACCACTGCCAACCAAGAGGATCATAAAGCCTCCTGGATGACCCTTTTTGAAAGAGGGGGGTCCTATTACATCTGGTGTAAAGCTCACATAGCATTACACCAAGTACATCATACCGGCAGAGAAATATGGTAGTGGCAGTGTGATGGCGCTTCAGGGCCCTGGCAACTTACCATAAATTAAACCATAAGTTCTGAGTTATCACACGAGTGATAAAGGTGTTGCAAAACTTTCCATTAATAAATGAAATCCTGTAAAAACGTATGTTTCTCCTCATGTTCTCCTTGTCAGGAGGGGGCACGTACTGTTTCACAGCACTGTATGCACTTTCATTGCTTTTTAGCTACATTAGCCTCGTAGCTCCGATGCTAGAACTAAAGAAGCAAACTTCAGGCACCAAACAGGTCTTGGCTGTAAATGGGTGAAACATAAATAAACTTGATTTTTAAGGTTTTCTTCATCTATGAAGAGCAAAATAATGAAGTGGCTGAAAGTTGAATGAGGTTCAATAAAGTAGGAAAAAGGCTAAAAGGAGCAGCTTAAAGATATTCCAGAACTCGGAACATAAACTGTTTAAAACAATGATGGTGCCTCCTCAGCTCTTGCCTGGATGACAGCTTGTTAAAGTGATAGTCTGGCAAAAAAGGTGAATAGACACTGCGCGCGCCCCAAAAAAAAATTTATAAACATGGACTAACAGATGGCTCTGTAGTGAAGGGAATGGTTCTGTTTAGAACCACGAGTTCCATGCTTAAATGGTTCTTTGCATTTTTTTTTTTTTGTATACAAGCTTTGCCACTGCAGAAGAACCCTCTTTCACCATGGAAAGAAAATTTTAAGCATGGAACGGTTCTATATAGAACTGATGGCTCTAAATAGAACCATTCCCTTCACTAATGAACCACTTTTTTAAGAGTGTACATTAGCATAGCTAAAAACAGTAGCAGCAGCAGCAGCATGACCTGAATGACCCTCGAAGCTCCAGTGCTAAAGAAGCTCATTTCAGACACCAATTGAATGTGTTTTTCCCCAAACTATCCATTTAAAAACTACATAATGGTTTAAAGTTAACAGAGCTAATGCTAACAGTGCTGCAGCCAGGCTCCTACACCAATCCAAACACTACCGACGTCCCTTTGACCTGAAAGGGACCAGAAAACTGGAAATTTATGGACTTTACCCAGTTGCAGTCAATCAGCCAAGACATGTTTGTTGCTTCATTAGTTTAGTGCTGGAGTTCTGAGGCTGCCAGCTCTTCATTAAGGTTGCACAAGCGTGTCAACATGGTTTAAAGCTCAGTATGACTAACTATGAGCTGTAAAAACAAATAAAACTTCACTGTGTATTTGTTGAGTTCAGGTTACTCAAACTATTTGTTGCCTCAAATGAATCAAGTTTTGAAACTCAATTTTTAGTTATCTGAAATAATACATGGAGTTGAAAACACGCAAACTTTCAACAAAGTGTAAGTAAAACCTAGTTGTGCTGATCACAAACTGTAAAAGAGTTTGAGATACATCATTTTGAGCTTTTGAGAAAAAATAAGTTGAGGGTGTTTTATTAGAACCAAACTGACTACTAAGCAGAGACACTAAACACACTCCTGGTTAGGATTTTGCTAACTGCTAATTCACCCTTTAACCCTAAAGATCAGCGCGCAGACTGCTGGTCACCATAGCAACATATACGACATCTCGCCCAGCTAGTAGCTAACGAAACGGCAAAGAGAGAGATTTAATTTGAAGATGAATGGACTTATTTACGTTTATAATCACTCCAGCTGGTTCCCTGATACGTTTATTCTGCAGTGAGAAACAAACACTGAAAAGTCATGAAGCTGAAGTTGCTTCTCATTCGGCAGGTTCTTGTTCGAATTCTCCCGTTCCACCTTTGCAGTGGTTACATTCTGGCACCTCAGGCACCATTTAAGGTGGAACAGGAAAATTAGAACAAGAAGCTGGTGAATAAGAAGCGACTTCAGCCTCGTAAAAATCAAACATTCAGAGACATTTTTACAAGAAACTGTTCTGCTTTTGTGGAAAAGTTTCCTGCTGGAGATGCGAGAAAAGCGGCTATAGCTGAGCTAAAGCTTAAAGCAGAATGAAGTGAGTCTGTGTTTTCATTTATATTATATTTTTTATCCTATACTAGTACATCAACACACACTAAGACATATTTACAGCCAAAATGGTAAAATAGACAAAGTGTTGTGGTTTGATTTTTCTTCAAAGGACAAAATGGCTCTTCTTAACATTTGGGTTGCGACTCCTGATTTAAGTGGAAGTAATGTCAGGGCTTTCAGTGTAGGTGGCTACTTTAGACAACAGGTGTAACAGAGATGACGTTCGCAATTTCCGTTGTTCCTATCTATAAATAACAGCTAATCTTGTATTTTCAAGCAGAAGATATAAGTTTATATATAGAAACAGCCAAAATTGTGACTGTAATCTAGTGTCCATATGTCTGTGTGAAGGGAAGTGGGACTCTGCGGGGGCAGATTTTGGCCCAACACCTGTCATCTGAAGTGTCTGCCTGCTGTGTTTAGCTACTCAGTGAGGTTTAGTTCATTTTTATAGCTCACAGTAAGTCACAACATGTCCTAAACCACATCAAGACTTCACCTCCTTAATGAAGACCTGGACATGTGTTTGTAGCCTTGTAGCTCCAGCGCTAAAACTAAAGAGGCAAAATTTGAATACCAAACACATCTTGGCTGATCGACTACATCTGGCGTAACCCGTGTGCATTTGATTTTTGGCTGAACCGGTCCTTTAAACGAGGGAAATCTGGTGAATTTAATGATATTTTTACCAAACACTCTCCAATTTATTGGTCCACTGCCAATGGGGACTGTAGAAAGAGAGCTAATAGAGGCAGTGATGGTGCAGTTTGAAGCTGGGATGGAAAACAGGCAGAGGGATGCACACACACACTCCTGCATGCATCCTGTGGAGTCAGTGGTTAAAAACAAAGTAGCATCACACAGTTAGATACACCCCCTCCCTTTTCACACTTCACACAGCCAAAAGGCAAAAAGCCCACAAACACAGAGTAAACAAGTGTAACAAGAGTCACTGAACTGAGTCTGGAGTAAACAGAGCATTTACAGCTAAAAACAGGGCCAAAAACATGATAAAGTCCTGCTACTCCATTTCAGCTTCAGCTATTAATGCTATATAAAAACTCACATACAGCCTAGAGACAAAATTCCTCTCAGCTGCCTTCATTACCGGCTATTAATCTTATAAAATTTACTATATAAACTATATAGTAAATTTTATACACACACACACACACACACACACACACACTCACTCACACTATCTTATCTGAATATATACTATATTCTCTGCAACAGAAATTTTATTGCAGCTGGTCCTGGGAAAATGATTAATTTCATTATGCAATTATGAAAAATCAACAGATTTGAAGAAAACATAATTGTTTTTTCTCAATTTCAAATTAAAACTACAAGTATATTACAGTTACAGCCTCTGCAGAGAACAGAAGAAAAGGACATTTTTCTGCAAATTTTAGTGCACAATTTCTATTTATTTGCTCAATTTAACAAACTGGAAAAAATAAAACATAAGATATAAAATGTGCTATAACTGTTGCACAGGCCACGTTTTAAGTTTTATTTCCCCCAGTATGTTAAAATTAGCAAATCGCTGCTGTTGGAACAAAACCTCGTATCTCCAAAATAACATCTTTACAGGAAAAGGAAAAAACCTTGTTTACTTTTAATGTAAGTCAGTGGAACCAGACTTTCTCCAAGTCATTTTGGGCCTTTTCTTTTGGTCCATTCATCATGAAATTTATACAACGTACAGGACAACAGGCATTTCCAAATTATGTCAAAAACTGAAAAATGCCAAAAACGGAGATGCGAGGTTTTATCCAGACAGCAGCAAAATAAACAGTGTGTTTTCTGTAGAGGATGTGTTATTTTAAATTAAAATGTTTCAATCAACAAAAACACGCACAAACTTTTGCATACGAGTGTACATGTTGCGTATCTACTAAGGTGTCCAGTTCCATGTTTGCTGAACTAGCAGAATGGGCTGTTACCCAGTGTCTGTGCCTTTGAGTTGCACTAAGCACAAGAAAAACTACATGGATCAATGTCTTCTTCCTCTGCGTCATCTTTTCATTGTTAAATATGTTAAAGCGCACCATATAAATAAAATAAAACTTAGCGTTTCGATGTGTAGCAGAACTCCAGTGCGACACTGTGCTGTGCGTGTAAATGAATTAAAACCAGGACTGGATTTTCGGATCATGGATCGGAGCACAGAAAGCTCATGCATATAAAATGGTAGTAAAAAAAAATTCTACCTTCTACCATCTTACACTACTACCTTAATAGCAGTAACAACCAACAGCGAATAACCAAACGGAGCCACACCATGCTGCAGAGCACTCTTTAAAGGAATAGTTTGTTGACAAATTAAATTTACACAATTTTTGCCCCCTTAACCAAATGTAGTCTATCAGCCACGACATGTTTAGTGTCTATAAATATGGACTAAAGTACATTAGCCTAGCGAAAACATTAGCAGTCATCTTAAAGCCTGAGTTGTCTGTACTTCAGTCCATGTTTATAGATAACACTGAGTCTTACAGTGTCAGAAACCACATAATCAAGTCTATTAGAGCTACTGAACAACAAGGTTTAAAGCGAGTGTGTAATAATTCAGTCATGCTAATTCGCAGCTTTAAAATGGGGTGACCATGATTTGTTTTCCAAATTAAAAAGTTTTGGGCCAGGACACGGTGTCGCCACCTGATATGCACCGCCTGCCTGATTTGCACTGGATATGTATTGCATTATGTTTCACGACGCTGCCCGATCTGCACCCCACATGTCTATCTACTATTTACGATGTCGCATTAGCAAATCAGCTAGGAGAGTTTAATGCTGAAACTACTATTAAAACAGTCTCAATCTCTTTTGCTTTCCTGGTTTAAGTTTGTATTAAGTTTCTTTCTACAAACAACGTTCAGGTTGGAGCTCAGGGAGATGAGAGGGATGTGGACAAAACCAGCTCAATGTTATTATCATTTTGGTTTAGCATAAGAACGTGTCTGTGGCTGAATCTCTCTTACTCCCTATATCAGGGGTCGGCAACCCAAATGTTAAGAAGAGCCATTTTATCCTTTCAACAAAAATCAGTCCATCTTGGGAGCCACAACATTTTACCATCTTCGCTGTAAATATGTCTCTGTGTGTGTTAATGTAGTAAGCAGACTTACTTCGCTCTGCTTTAAGCTTTAGCTCAGCTACAGCTGCTTTTCTTGCATCTCTGGCAGGAAACTTTCCCACAAAAGTAGAACAGTTTCTAGTACGAGGCTGAAGTCACTTCCCATTCACCAGCTTCTTGTTCTAATTTTCCCGTTCCACCTTAAATGGTGCCTGAGTCACCAGAATGTAACTGCTGCACCATTTAAGGTGGAACGGGAAAATTCATACAAAAAGCTGGCGGATGAGAAACTGAGTTCATCTTCGTGACTTTTTAGTGTTTGTCAGTTTCTCGCTGCAGATTAAACGTATCAGGAAACCAGCTGGAGTGATTATAAACGCTAATAAGTCCATTAGTCTCCAAATTATCGATGTTCGTCTTAAATCTCTCTCTTTGCCGTTTCGTTAGCTACTAGCTAGGCGAGACTGTCTGTGTTGCTATGGTGACCAGCAGTCTGTGCTGATCTTCAGGGTTAAAGGGTGAATTAGCAGTTCTACATTAACTCCAGAGTTTAAGACCATTTATTGTTAAACTGTGTTGAACGATCAGCAGAGCTTTATTTTACTGTAAAGGAGGATTATTTTATTTTTACCTACTAATCTGATTCAGCTGTGGAGCCAGAACAGGACAGTAAAAGAGCCGCATGCTGCCGACCCCGATCTATATAGTGTGTAGATAGTGCTCTAAATGTTAGACAGGATGTTGTGCATCTATAACTGAATATAAATGGCTTTTATTTAGATATAGTGTAATGTGTAGTGCGCTCTACATAGGGAGTAGAAACCATTTGAGCCTATATTTTGCCCAGCTTTGTTTCATGCTATTGATACTGTAGAACGCTGTCTTATGCAAAGTAAAACCAGCTCACCAGTCAAGTGGACAGGAATGCATAATGCATCTGAAATTACTTCTGAGCAATACAGGCATTTTTCTGGGCTCAACTTCAACTTTAAACTGCTGTAAAATGCTAACACGTGAGGTATAGATCATGTCGTGCCAGCGGGTGCTGGTAAAAGTAATGTTCTGTGTTCATGTATGGTGATGCACTTGGTGCAAATCAGGCAGGGGACGCAGATCTGTACGGAGTACAGATCAACAACACAGGAGATACTGTAAAAAGCAAACGTCAACGTGAAAGCAAAGCCAAACTCCAGACATCTGAGGCAATTTAGAAATCCTGGCCAGATGCTTTTTTAGTTTGTGAAAAGAGGACATACCCCTGAAAAAGAGGAAGTATGGTCACCCTACTGTAAGCCACACACTTAAAAAGATGATTCTTGAAGGGTTCTTTAATAAAGAAAAAGTTTCTAAATACAGGGTGATTCAAAAAGATTCATCCGATTTCAAAGAGCCATGTTTTTACAACCGTGAGGCGCCGAGGAACCAATCACAATCTAATTGAAAGAGGGAGTCATAGAGTTGTGTTCTCCACTTCAATAAGAGTGAATCCGTCATAACTGTGCAGTGTGATTTTCGTGGGCAGTGAACCTCCAACAGCTCAGAGCGTTCGCCGTTGGTTCCACAACACTGGATGATCTCCGAAATCGCACTGAAAGAGCCGTGAGTGCAGCGACACCCGACACGCTCAATCCAGTATGGGATGAGTTTGACTATGGCGTTGATGTTCGTACAGCTGGAGGAGGTTCATACTGAGACCTTGTACAATTACATAATCAACTTTATGCTCATTTAAACCATTTACAGTTCACTGCATTGATCTGTAATGATTTAGTGAAATAAATCATTTTGAAATGGGATGAATCTTTCTGAATCACCCTGTAGAACCAAGAACATTTAAAAAAAAAAACACTGAATGATTAAATGGTTCCTTGCATGGTGAAATGGCTCTTCAGATTGATGCAGAATGTGCTGTAGATGGTTCTATATAGAACCTTTTTGAAAAAAGTCACATATAGCACCAAAAAGCGTTCTATACAGAACCATATGTAACACATTCTGCATCAATCTTCATCATTTTATGATGCAAAGAATCCTTTAATCATTCAAAGGGTTCTTTGAGTGTTCATAGTTCTATATGGAACCTGTTTTCTTTACTAAATAACCCTTTACGTTAGCTTTGTAGCACCAGCATAAAGTTTAAAAGACAAACTTCAGACAGTTTTGGCTGATTGACTACATTTGGATTCTTTTTTCTGTTTTTTCGGCCGAACTGTTTCCCCTATTCCTTTAAACTGAGAAAGCTGGCCGGCAGCAGCAGCATCTCATGTCCATTCTCACACATACAGCCTGCGGGATGAGCTCAGGGGCCTGGAAAAGCCCGTCTACTAAAATCCTGCGCCCGCGTCGCTGCTGTCTCATTGGGGACGGAGCCCAACGGAACAGTAATCGCTCTGTCATGTGCAGCAGATGCAGCCCAGGCTGTGTGAAAGAGGCACAACAGAGGGCAAAGGGTCAAGACATCAGCGGAGAGACCGGCACTGTACCTGCAGCCAGAGGTGAACCTTCAGCTTCCTGTCCTCTTTACGTTCAAAGTTAGCTAGAGGCTGTGGGGGAATCTGTAAAGGTGGGTTTACTCTCACCTGCCATAATTCGGCAGGTAGCTGCCATAATCCCAGTGATAGAAAGAGTGTTACAACATGGGCTGACTGGCGAAAATCCATCTGAGGTAGAACTACACCATTTCCAGGGTTACGCTACTCCCATTTACAGTGACACTAACACTACTTCCACGGTTGCGCTAGGGCTACACCCATTTTCATGGTCACACCATAGTCATAAAAAAGATGGTTCTTAAAGAGTTCTTTAGTAAAGAAAACGGTTCACTATATAACCATGAACACTCAAAGAACCCTCTGCCTGATTAAAGGGTTCTTTACATAATGAAAGGGTTATTCAGACTGATGGAGAATGTGCTTTAGATGGTGCTATACAAAACGTCTTTGAAAATGGTTCTATTTAGCACCCAAAAGGGTTCTATTATTGTTACAATGTCAGGCAATGTCTATATAGAACCATTTATAGCACATTCATGCATATTTTCTATCAATCTGAAAGAAACCCTTACATGATGCAAAGAACCCTTCAATCATGCAAAGGACTCGGTGAGTGTTCGTGGTTCTATAGAGAACTATTTTCTTTATTGAAGAACCATCTTCTTTGAGAGTGTAGGGCTAAATCCAGAGCCAGTTTAAGGGAGTCTGGCCTCTTCCTATTTCACTCATTATATAAAAAAATGACTGCAAAACGTCAACGAATGGGGGGTGAATGGAGCTAAACAGCTAAAAACGAAGTATTAAAATAGTTTCTAATCACTCGCCCAGAACTTTCCTTTAATTTTAGAAAGCAGAAGGATGTATTTCACTAAAAAAGCAAAGACAGCAAACGGGTTCTGGGCAGCAGAACGCTAACATTACTGCTACTGAGTGCTGATTGGTTGGCAAGCGGAGCAGCTCATTGGCTGTTCGCGCTCACTGACGTTATGAATGTACAGGAGGCGCCGTTTTAAACTCAGAGTTTAAAAGCTCTTAAAAATATAACAGCGGTGTTAAAATGTTTTATGTTGTTCAGTGTTCAGGAAATGAATGAATTTGTTTATATTACAAATGTTTAAGCATTTATAAACTATGATTTTACTCAAATACTCCATATCAACCCAATCATTTTGAGTGACTGTGTGGATCATATGAACATTATAGAGCTTTTTAAATGAAACAGTAGAAGCCATATCGCCCCCTACACTTCCTGTAGTGTATTACAGTCTGTCAGAGTGACTGTGTGGATCATATGAACATTATAGAGCTTTTTAAATGAAACAGTAGAAGCCATATCGCCCCCTACACTTCCTGTAGTGTATTACAGTCTGTCAGAATGACTGTGTTAAACTTTTTAAGGAAACAATAAAAATCCATGCCAACATTTTTTCAATCGACATTGTTTTGTATTTTTTTACTACTCTTTTCATCTCTAACATTGACAAGCATCTTTAGAGCTGGTCGGTCAAACTCACCACTAAGAGCACAACAGAAAAGCTGGCAGATTAACTGACATTAAAGTGTAGATTATTCAGCTGCAACGAAGGAAAACAAATAAACTTCATACTCAGCCCTTCTGTGCTGTATTAGTAATGAAGTATCTATAGGACTGTATTATATTCCATACACGTGGCCAAACAGACTACAACTTCTAAATTGGTCAATAAAGGTAAAGCACACACACCAAATAATCCTTCCAGCAGACATTTTTTACCTTTTCCTCTTCTTTTCGGAGTCGTTTATCCTGGGCTTTGATTGTTTTTGGGGAGTCTTCTGCGTGGAGATGGAAATCTTCTCCTCTCTTTGTCTCTTCCGAGCACTGGGAGGAGAAAAAGATGAAAAAAATACACTAAACATTAGACTAGTGGTCAAATCAGTCAAGATCTTGACTAATGAGTCCGACAATTTCTGAATTCTGTACATTTCCACCTTTGGGTTTTTCATTAGCAGCAACTCTTAGTGGCAAAAGTGACTGAAAATATTCTTAAAGAGCCCAAACTGTAGATTTCTTGTTTTTGTTTCAATGAAACAATCATTATTTATTACAGTGAACACTGTTAAAGTTTTAGAATTCACTCTCCAGTCCAAACAGTCCAAAAAAAGCCTGTTGTGAATCCATCACAGCTGTGATGTCACAACCATGAGCGCATTCGCATATGACCGCCTGTTCAGCCAACAGCAGCTTAGCCGCCCAGTCACGCTGAGGCAGCACTCAAGGACTGCCTTTTGAATGTGGTGTTATTCATTTTATTGGTGCCAGGCAATCAGAACAGAGTTAATTTACATATATCAGTCTTAAAGACACAGTGCAGTCTACAAAAAAATTCTATGGTTTAAAGAGAGGCTTGAAAATGGCCACGTGAAAATGAACTATAGCTGTTTTTGGCACATAAACACACACACGTTACAAAAATAAATGAATAAATAAATAAAATACATGGAAAATGTAGAATAAGATTGCTATTTTATTTCTTTGCATTCTAAATTTGGAAAAAGAGGCTTGTTGTGATTGCACCAGTCACTGAACAGCAATTCTCAAATCATTATTTTAAAAAATAAACTATAGAATAAAAGTAGTACAGCTGGCAACACTGCAAACCGTCAGAATTTCACATAAAAGATCAATGTATTTAAGCCAATACCACAAGTGAAATATCAGGGTCATTTGTAGCTCATATTTCTTTCATGACAGTAAAGGCTCGTGTAGGTGTGAGCGTAGGGGAGAAAATCAATAATAAACGCAGCCGATATGGAGACCTGCTAACCACTGAGCACTTTCGCTGTGCCCATTTCCTGACGGCTGGCTGCGTTTATGACAGTCATCGTGGCCTTTTGCAATGCTAACAGTCATATCACGCCTTCCTTTTACTGGTTCAACAAAAGCTTTAAAGGGTAACAGCAGAGAACCAATGAGTGCAGATAAACAGGTCATTTAGGCCCACTGAGTGTGCATGTACTCTTTAATTAGAGTTAAATTAAAATGCACCTTATTTCATCACATTTACATATCATTACATTCAGAACCTGAAACACTCCAAATCAAAAAAAGGTAATAAAACCTCATGTCATTTAGCAGCACACTGACCTTTCTCCCCATGTGGCTGGTGACCAATTAATACCCAGCTTACCAAAATATCACAAACTGAGGGACGCTGACATATCTTTGACATTTACACGGCTCAAAGGACAGTGAATCACAAAAACCTGTCATGATAGAGGTGCAAAAATGACTTGTGACGTATAAAACTGAAGGCAGCAAATCATCTGTATCGGGCTTGAAATTATGGAATGGGGTATAAGCAGTTAGAACAATATTCAATAAAGAATGCGCTCGTTTTTGGCCATAATAAGAATCTGCGGCTACTCAAATATTTGGTTATTCTCCTTCTATACTGTGGAACTAATTTCCACCTTTTTATTAAGCAGTCAAGCTTGGGACATTTTAACAAACATTTGAAAATCTCTTTTAATTTATACTGTGTTTAAATTTCTACTTTATATGATTTAAATTAATACTATTAACTTTCATTTATTTGTCTTATATCACTGTTACTGAACAGTAAGTATAATAGAAGATAATCACACTCAATTCTAACTCCTTATATTAGTGTTAATCTTTATCACCTGTCTGTAAAGCAACTTGAACTGCACCCAGTATGAAAAATGCTCTATAAATAAAGGTTTTTTTTCTTCACCCAAATGTAAAATTCACCAAAAAGTTATTATGAATAATTGTGATTACCTAAACAAAAATAATGTGACTATTTGTGATTAATTATTTTTATGGTTTGGCAGCCCAAATGTATATGTTTACTATTTGTATGCTGTATTATTTACATGAAGACCAACTTCACCAAGACAACATGCAATACTTGGCTAATAAAGTGACTGTGATTCCAATTAAGAACAAGTTTTAGATTCAGCCTGATCTCTCTCTCTCTCTCCCTCTCTCTATATTGTCTATAAGCACAGTTAATTTATCCTACATTAATGCAGCACCATCCATTGACATATTATCTAACACTACACTCCATTTGTGTATTCAGTTCATTTTAAAAAATAACTGTACCAAAAAAAAAAAAATCAAAGTAATAAAATCCATTCCTGGTCAAATCTGAGATTTTATGATGCATTCAGTTGTTTCCCGAAGAACTGTAATTAAAATATAAATATTAAGCCCCGCCCACTCTGCTTACTTGGCTGTGCACCCGTCTCCGTCAGCCTCCTTCATGTCTGAGGTCGTTTTCTTCGCCGCCTCGACGTCTCCGGGCTCATCGGGCCGGATCAGCCTGCTGCCGTTGTAGCGCTCTGAGGGGCATTTCGGGGGCTGAGGGGGTGGAGACTCACACACGCGCTCCTGGTCCTCTTTGGAAAGCTCCTGCCATTGTTTCTGTACACACACACACACACAGATACACAATCAAAGAACAGTAATCAAAACTGCTCTCAAACGTTTTGATTCAAACACTCTATTTCTATTTAGGAGTGATACTGGATCCCCAATTAAAATATAATATTCACATAAAGAAACTAACCAAGACCATCAAAACTAATTTAAACTGTTTTCCATTGATAAGACCTTGCATTCCACTCAAGGCTGCACAGATGTATGTGAATGCCATGACTGTATCGCATATGTCATACTGTGCAACTGTCTGGGGTGAAGTCTGTCAATCAGCAATTAAACCTGTAAAGTCGTTATACAAGCAGGCTTCGAAAATAATGGATCAGAAATGGATCAGAGATGGCATCACTGTGACTAGGGGTGCAGGAAAAAATCGATTCTTAGGTGCATCGCAATGCAGACGTGAACGATTCTGAATCGATTCACAAATGTCAAAAATCGATTTTCTAAATATTTAATTTATACCGTAATGTTGACGGAACGCAAAGGGCAGAACTTGGAAGTGGGTAAGTGCGGCGCCCGGACAGTCTGTGGCGGCACACAACAAAAACACTACTGGATGAGCGAGAAATCCGACCGGCTCCCTCTGCATTAAAGCCAGGTTAGATCAGGAGTCACAACCCAAATGATCAGAAGAGACATTTTGTCCTTTCAACAAAAATCAAACCACCTTGGGAGCCGCAACATTTAATGTCCAGTATGTCTCAGTATGGGTTCTAGTCCTAGTATATGTCCTAGTATAGACTAAACAATATAAACGAAAACGCAGATTTACTCTGCTCTACTTTAAGCTTCGCCTACAGCCGCTCCCATCTCCGCCAGAAAACTTTTCTTCAAAAGTTGAATAGTTTCTTGTAAAATGTCTTTCAGCTTTCGGCTGTTTTATGAGGCTGAAGTCGCTTCTCATTCTCCAGCTTCTTGCTGAACTTTCCGGTTCCACCTTAAATTCTGACTGAGACGCCGAATGTAATTGTGGCACCATTTAAGGTGGAACGGGAAAATTAGAGAAGCGACTTCATCTTCAAAACTTTATAGTGTTTGACAGTCTCTCGTTGCAGATTTAATGTACCAGGAAACCAACTGCGCTGCTTATAAATGCGAATTTATAAGTCCATTCATCTCCAAATGTTTGTCTGTCTTTCTTTTTTCCTTTTTGTTCGCTACTCGCTCTGCGAAACCTCGTTGCTATGTGACCTGCAGTCTTTCACGCTCCACCCCGCCTCCTCTATCACGAGACCAAAACTGCAGTTATAAAATCACTAAAGAATATATAACGTGCTGCGTGGTCATCCACTGCCACTGGACCTTATTTCACCGTAACAGCGCATTTTACTGCAGATGAGTGGCAGCTGCGTCTCATGTGCTCCAAACAAGAGCAGTGAATGAGAGCCTTCCAGTTCACTCGCCTCATCACTCCCATTTGTTTTATTAATAAAAGATATTGAACGTAAATGCATTATGGATCATTACAAATACTTTGTTTTAAAACTACCAAGTCCTCAAACAGTAAGAAAACAGAGATCATGTGTAGAAAAAAAAAGATGCATCGATAATCGAATTGTGAGGTGCCTAAAGATTCCCACCCCTAACTGTGACATTCAAGAAAAATATAATTTGCAGATTTTTGGTGATTTTATATTTTTATCTTTCTTATATACACCAATCAGGCGTAACATAATGACCACCTCCTTGTTTCTACGCTCATTGTCCATTTTATCAGCTCCACTTACTATATAGGTGCACTTTGTAGTTCTACAGTTACAGACTGTAGTCCATCTGTTTCTCTGATACTTTGTTAGCCCCCTTTTACCCTGTTCTTCAGTGGTCAGGACCCCCATGGACCCTCACAGAGCAGGTACTATTTGGGTGGTGGATCATTCTCAGCACTGCAGTAACACTGACGTGGTGGTGGTGTGTTAGTGTGTGTTGTGCCGGTGCGAGTGGATCAGACACAGCAGTGTTGCTGGAGTTTTTAAACACTGTGTCCACTCTATTAGACACATATACAAATAGCAAAACCTGCTAACAATGTTGAATTTACGTTTTTCATTTTTATGGTTTGGCAACCCTAATTTATTCATTTACTGTTTGTACGCTGTATTATTTCCTAGAAGACCAGTTTTACCAAGACAGCTTTGTTGTACATGCAATACTTGGCCAATAAAGCGACTGTGATTCTAGTTAAGAACAAGTTTTATATTCAGACTGATCTCTCTCTCTCTCTCTCTCTCTCTCTCTCTCTCTCTCTCTTGCTCTACAATAACTCTCGTATCTCACCTGCAGTGACGAATCCCCCATGATGTACTTGGCCCCCTCCAGAACGGCCATGTAGGAGAAGCGCAGTTGGTCAGGCGTTTGGATCAGACCCATCCTGTACTTTCTCATGTCCAGCAGCACCTTCTTAATGTCCACAGAGGACGGGTCTTTCCGCTTGTCCATCTGTGTGGAAGAAAAAAGCCCCAGTGTTTATATGCCACTAAAACTGAGAGGTATATTAAACGTCCAGCAAAGTTTGAATGAAAAAAATGATAGAAAAACAACAAAAACATAGCTTCACCAGACCTATAAGTGAAGTGTGTGGGCGTGGCCTAATATTATAATGAGCACGTGTGACTGATGAGCCTCAGTCCAACACTTCCAGCCTATATATTATTATACTTATTATACTAAACATCCAGCAAAGTTTGAATGAAAAAAAAAAAAATAGAAAAATAACAAAACAAAGCTTCACCAGACCTATATGAGAACTGTGTGGGTGTGGCCCAATATTATAATGAGCACGTCTGACTGACAGGCCTCAGACTAACACTTCCAGCCTATATACTATTATATTAAACATCTAACAAAGTTTGAATGAGAAAAATAATAAAACATAGCTTCACCAGACCTATGTGAAGCTCAGTTAAGCCTGCATGGTTAGCTTTCGCTCTGTGTTGAGCCTTCTCTCATTAAGTTTCACATTAAGAGACACTGTTTGTGAAAAATAGCTTTGTTAAAGCTGTGTGGGCGGGACAAACCACATCATCCTTGTGACTGGTGCTGGAACAGTTTAGCAACATGCGGCTCCAGAGTGGCTCTTTTACTGCCCTGTTGTGGCTCCACAGCAGAATCAGATTTGTGGGTAAAAATAAAATAATCCTCCTTTACAGTAAAATAAAGCTCTAATTCACCCTTTAACCGTGAAGATCAGTGCAGACTGCTGGTCACCATAGCAACTCTAACAATAATCTGGCCTAGCTAGTAGCTAACGAAACAGCAAAGAGAAAGATTTAAGATGAACATCAATAATTTGGAGATGAATGGACTTATTAGTGTTTATAATCACTCCAGCTGGTTTCCTGATACGTTTAATCTGCAACGAGAAGCTGGCGAATGAGAAGCGACTTCAGCCTCGTAAAGAGCCGAACATTGAGAGACATTTTACAAGAAACTGTTCTACTTTTGAGGAAAAGTTTCCTGCTGGAGATGTGAGAAAAGCAGCTATACCTGAGCTAAAGCTTAAAGCAGAGCAAAGTGAGTCTGCGTTTTCGTTTATATTATATTTTTATCCTATACTAGAATATTAGCACATATTTACAGCCAAAATGGTAAAATGGATATAAAATGTTGTGGCTCCCAAGATGGTTTGATTTTTGTTGAAAGGACAAAATGACTCAACATTTGGGTTGCTGACCTCTCGTTTAGGAGATCAGAGTGCCCAGTTTTTCCTCCTCTAAAGAGAAAAATGTTGGCAAAATACTTCGGTCACTTAACAGACATCAGAAAGTTATTCACAGCACATATCTTGTACATATATAATATATATCATGTGCCTACAAGAGCAACATTAACCCACTTAAAAAAAAAAACAAAAAACATGGATTTAGGTTCTCTGATGCTTTAAGTCTCAAATAGAATAACAGAACACACCTTTACAACACAAAGGACTGGGCGGCTTGTAAGATTTCAGACACTAAAGAACTTTTAGCTTCAAACCCTACAGCCACTACTCTACTAACAGTGATCAAGATATAAATAAATATCTTCTCTACTGTAATTTATTTATATTTTATTGATATTTGAATAAACTAAAATCTTTCTCTCATGTACTGTAAGCTTAAACTTGCAAATTTACAAGTTTACTATTTGGGTCATTCTCCATCTGGAGGGAGAAACCATGACACAAGGTTTCAGGGCTTAAAAAGATGCTTAAAATATCAGACACAGCTCCAAAAGGGGGTATATACATTTACACAGTTGACCTAAGACATAAGACTTTTCCCTTATGATTCTCTGATTTTTCTTTTTATCCTGTTTCATAGCCGCTCTGCATCTATAAAACAGCTCGTCACAAAACCAGTTTTCAACATTTGAGAAACCATTTTTAATATGAAACAATATTTTTAAGGGGTTTAACTTAGGAATTTGTATAAAACATGCATGTTTACTTTTTGATATCACTAACATTATACTACGTTTAAAAATCTGTATTTTATTTTAAAAATTCATGTGTCACAGAGATTTTGGTCGCTGGTGTTATCAGGACTCTTATTTTGCATTTTAACACAGTATTTTAAGCTCTATTAAACTGCTTCTTTGGGTCGAGGCTCATCAGAGAGGAAGTATCTCAAGGCATGAGAAGGTGAGTCACACTCGCTCACTATATTTCATTAATTTATTAATGATTTTGTTTATCAGGCAGCTCATAACTTCTGTGTGTCACTGGTGTTATGAGCTTTAATGGCTGGGTAATTAATTTTGTTTTTGTTTTGTTTTTTGTATTTTTATTACTGATTTTAAATAGTTGCACAAGGTCACCTGATCAGCCAATGAGTCAGCCAGTTTACAAAATCCTCAGTTTTAACCAGAATGTCACTGGAGTCACCGTCACTGGAGTTACACCATATTCATACAACACTAGTGACTGTAAACTATGTTTGGAATTAACCTCTCCTTTCTGCATATATAATAACAGGACATATTAAGGTTATTTAGTTTGGGAATGATTTTTTTAAAAATGTATCCACCTGAATTCCCACTCCAAATGGAGAACGACCCATTTGCTTTATTTTGCACCACCTTGGGAGACTGTTAATAAAAAAAATTCCTACAAGATCATGCATGATATGTTTTTCTGTTGAGGTCTTTTATTTGGTCAGTAAGTCTTTGTGTATTATTTGTACTGACTTGATCATTAGGAACTGGTCAGTTAGTCCTGCCGAAGGTGAAGACTAAACATGGAGAAGCAGCGTTCGGCTACTGTGCTGCTCTTAAATGGACCCAGTGGACAGAGAGCATTTGAAGAGCCCTGACACTGGACACTTTCAGCTCAGTTTAAACACTGTAAAAGCGTTTGTAGCCCCTTTTCCTCTGTAACGGCACTTTATTATGCTAATTTAACTTTTAAATGTGTAACTTGATTTTTAAATATCATTATTTAATGTCTAATATGATTTTTAATTTAATGATTTATCTCTTTTAAATCTATTGTCTTTTTAAATTTCTATTCTCCTGTACTTTTTTAAACGACTCTGTATTTTCTCACTTGTAAAGCACTTTGAATGACAGCAGTGTATGAAAGGTGCTATATGAATAAACTTGCCTGGCCCAAATCTCATCTTTTTTCTCCATATGTGACACAGATGTGTGTCAGTGTGAACAGATAAACACACTGAATCTGACATTTTTAATTCCGATCTGAGACGCTTTCATATGTGGTAGTGAAATCTGATACGTATCCGATATGCGGCAATGCGACTCAGTCTGAACAGCCATATCGGAATTAATGCGACTTTTACATCAATCCAACTCGACATTCATCATAATTTTGCGCTGCTGAGACTCAAACATTCAGGCTGATGTTTCTGTACAAAAAATTGGAAGAGACTCTTCGCTGCGGCTCCGTGTTCGAAGAGATTTCTAAAGAAAGGAGGAGGAGAACGAGGCTGCAGCGTCAAAGAACATTTAAGCAAAGTTTAAAGAATCCGAGGACGCGAACCAAAGAAGTGACCGCGCCCTTTTTAACGGCTCGAACACATTCTGGGTGATGAGCCCAGCTGTCAGTCAGTGAAGCTTCATAATGGCTCCTGTGATGCTGGTGAAGATGAAGCTGATCCTCCGGGAGCGACTGGCGTTCGTTGGCAGTCGGGATTGTTTACCTCTGGATGAGCCGTGAAGCAGCGTGAAGCTCTGTTCTTTAGAGCATGCGGGTCAGTTTAGGAGCTGATCTGTTCAGACTGATGTCGTATACAGATCACATTTAAAAGATGATGTGAACAGCTAAACAACAAAATCAGATTTGGTGAGAAAATCAGATTTGGGCCACTTTGACCTGCTGTGTGAACGAAGCCTTAGTGAGTGAATTAGCTTAACCACATCCAAAGCTCTCCCTGAGGAAGTCCAGTATGTACAGTTACCATCCAACACCTGGTTTATCTAATCACTCCTTCATTAAATTAAATCAGGCGCTGCTGATTGAAATGAATCAATCCGTGCGATGGGCGGAGTACAGCGAGAAGCCAGGAACCAAATCCGTTCTTCTAAGCTACATATCAATAACTTGACTGGGAAAATAAAAAGTCATTACATTTTACAGTTTTTGTTTTATAGTTCGCCCTAATGTTACACACTCACCAGTACGAGACAGGTGTCGACCAGAGAGAACGTTCCAGATCGGCCGATTCCTGCGCTGCAGTGGACGACTGCCGGTCCGTGATCCGTCCCCAAAGAGCCGGACTCCCGCACCTTAAAGAGGAAGTTCAGGAAGGATGCCGGGGACTCTGGAACGCCGAAGTCTGGCCATGTTGTGTAATGAAAGTGGTAGATCTCTCTCCTCTCCCCCGTCTGAAAAGGCAAACCAGTCATTTAGACACCATAAGTGTAACGAATATGCCTTCAGTCCTAATATGGCACCTTTAGAATATGGTATATACAGCTTTTAGGGACACACTGATATGGAAATCGTGTGCTGTGATCTGATATTCCTCACATGTATCCGCCGATGCAGAGACATAAACATTTATAAAACGTCGAAATTAAGAGTAGAGCTGTAGGAGTTGTCTGGATCAGCATTGCAGAGAAATACATTTGTTTCTGAAGGGCTACAAATGCAGTAAAATGGATAAAATGTAGATGTTTTTGGGCAGAAACTGAGCGTCACCTAAACAATAAGCTCTTCCAGAATTCAATCAATACATCATCATGTACTGGATTGAGTACAACTATTTTATTTAACCTTCATTATAAAGATAAACTATAATAAAGATAAATAAAACAATATAAAATTAGATCAATAAGTAAGATGATGTCGTAATGAGCTGCCAGCCAATCAGCCACTCGTTACTATGAGGTTCATGTGGTTACTGGTCGTTGTTTAGTTGTGGTCTGCCTCATGACATAAGTTTAACTAAGGCTGGATTTCTGACCCAGTTTCAGTGCCACACTGTTGTCTTATGACGTAATCCGATTACATTTAATATATATATAATAGATGTATTATAATTTATATCTATTAGTTTAAAACAAATGAATATCTGATGACATAAGAATTGTAACTGGAGGAGGAAGACTTGACTGGTCTAGGAGCTGTTTATGAATCATAAACCTGAATCTGAAAATCCATTTTACATTTTTCACATATTTTACTTTCACAGTCGTAACATTTAAAAGTTCCTGTCTCGGAAATACAGTTCTAGGAAAAACCTTTAATTGTTATGTGGAGGTTCTTTAAACTTTTAATAAAAAGGTTCTTCACTTTTCCATTTTCATCCGTTAAAAGGTTCTTTAGAAAAACAAGTACTTCCTCCACCATATCAGTCCAAAAAATACTTTTTTTGACACCTTTATTTTTATGTATTCTCATTTTCCAAAATTCCTGCATAATTAGATGATTAAGATGTAAACGTCGTCATTCTGAGTGGTTTGTTGGGAAAAGATTCTAGATTTGCAAGTACACATCAGACTGAAAATTAAAGTGAAGCATTTTTTACGTGCGGCATTGTAGTAACCCATATCGCTGGTGAATTGAAAAAGTAGTAACTCAAGACAGTAAGATTCAAAACAAATTCAATAACCTGACATTTTTCAAATATTTCAAAGCTAAAAAAGCAAAGTTTGTTCCAAGATCGAACATCTCTGCTTTGCTGGTTCCTTCATTTTCGGTTCCAATGTTGTATATGTAGCTGTCTGCATTATCGCCTTCTAGTCGATTTGAGTAACAGCCTGAACACAGAAGCTTTTCTAGCTTTGCCCGCAAATGATTTATATGACATAAACAGAGTATTATTAAGTACGATTTTGATGATCTTTAAATGATAATGGCAACTTTTAAATCTACTACATATATATCTAGCAAGCATATTTGTGAGCAAAGGCATCTACTTCTGTTTAATTTTACTTAACATTTAGTTAAAGAAGTAAATTTCAAGATTTCTGCATAACTAAACAGTTAAAATGTAAACAGAGTCGTTCAGAGTGGTTTAGTGTGATGCGCTCCGTTCTAGATAACCTTACTGAGTCAGAAATGTTCACAGTGATGGCGATAGGAACCAGATGTCCACCTCAGAAAGTTACTACATGAAATGGTTATGAATTCACTGCCTGATGACTGAGACACTATTTTACGATAGTTTTGAGAAGATTTTGGCCTAAAAATCCATTCATGGTGGAGAGATACATGATATGCAGGGCGCTGTGAGGCAAAATAGTCACCAAAG